GGTGTATGATGAGTGGTGTATGATGAGTGGTGTATGATGAGTGGTGTTTGATGAGTGGTGTATGATGAGTGGTGGTTGAACAGCTGTTGAATGTCCGTAACACGGAAGTTTTGCACACTAAACTTCCTTTGATTATCAACCATATGGATGCCACTCGCATCTTGACTAACTAGCCTTTAGGAGGGCGCTGCACAAAATCTATCTGCCTCTGAACAAATTTGGGAAATGACGCCTGCGCCTGTCAGCACCTCCGTATACTTTGCCGCTTGGTCCACAACACTGCGTTACTGATAGGCATCATGTCCTCACCCTTTCCGCGCCACATCTCCGTCGCTTTTTTGATGATGCTAATATGAACAGTACTTTCTTTCCCACCAAGCCGCTACTTTCAGACCTTCACAAAAGCCCTCGCCAAATGGTTTAAGACACACGGTTGCCTGCCAACGCTACGCCAACTTGCCTATGTTTTCTTACATCTCAGTGGCGTCAACGCGTCCTCCATCTTCGCACAGAGACGCTTCACCTCCAGATGCCCCAGCTCCGGCGGCGTTGGGGTAACTGAACATTGCTGCATCACACCGACCATGAACTTCAGCGGCTTCGACTGCTTTGTCCCCAAGGCTCCCGAACTGTTCCAACCACTCCCCCACCTTACCGAAGGTCCTTGCCAACGCTTTCCTCCCGCCCTCCGCCAACGCTACAAACGGGTTTCGGAAGACATTCTTGATCATTCAAGATCCCCGTGGCATTTCCCACCTCAAGAGAGAAGCAATGGCGAACCATCATTTCTTATATCATTGCGTTGGCAGAAGCGGGTTGTGACTTTTGCGCGAAGACACGGAGACACGAAGACACGCGAAGACACGAAGACACACGAAGACACGCGAAGACGCGAAGACTTGCGAAGACACGAAGACAAGCGAAGACACGCGAAGACACGAAGACACGCGAAGACACGAAGACACGCGAAGACACGAAGACACGCGAAGACACGAAGACACGCGAGACACGAAGACACAAAGACTTGCGAAGACACGACGCGCGAAGACACGAAGACGCGCGGAGACACGAAGAGGCTTCAGGTCTTCAAGGCTTCGGGTCGTCACTAGGCTTCAGGTCTTCAAGGCTTCAGGTCGTCACCAGGCTTCAGGTCTTCAAGGCTTCAGGTCGTCACCTGTCTTCAGAGGAACGTCACCCGGGATTGCTAACACACTGTCTTATTCCCAATCCGCTCATGGCCTTCTCCTCCGCGCAGCTTCTGCTTCTTCAACTTTTTCCACAACATCCAGGCCAACTTTCCATTCCACAACTTTGGCGCCACTTCCACAACAACCTCCACTCCGACCTGTCGGCTTCTTCAACTCCGTTCCCCAACACCAACACTGTCTCATTGATCCCGCCCACAGCCTGGTCACCACATGGAAAGCCACTCATGACACCTCCACACTCACCATCGAGAATATCGAGGCCCAGGCTCATCCCACTCAACGTGCAATCAGCACCGTTGACATCACCGCCAGTGTTCTTCACGCGCTTAACAATTGCATTTTCCGCGCACACACCACCACCTTCAGACAGATCCGCGGAGCATTCAGCCGGGCTTCAACCAGTCGAAGGTTTCCCCAACATTCAACAATCGTGCCTAGAAGATCAGAGACCATGCTTCAGCAGGCACGCCTGGATTTGCTTCTCGGCTACACGCCATCCGCGCTTACTGCTTCCCAGCTGCTGCGGCTCATGCTGCTGCCGAAGCTCTGATCTTGCTCTCTGTCCAAAAGGGGACATGGCATTGCTGAGTGTCGAAGGATTGCGAGGCCAAAAAGCGATCTCTCAGCGTGCGCCGAAATGACGTCTACCTGTGAGTTTCAAACCTTGTTCCTTTGAGGGTCTCCCACAGGTCTGTAATCACGGTTGTTTCCCAAGTCTTTTTTTTAAAGGCAGGGGGCATGGCAGCTGTTTCCCTAGCCATGCCAACGAAGCTATGGGATTCAGCCGGAAGGGAATGTGGACGCACATTCCTGTACCTGCTTATTCTTGTTTTCACCCAACTTCTCTCTACGTAAAGCTAAGCTGTTCCACTCCGGTGTTGCGCGGTACAGCGCTAGTGCTCTAAAATGCTACAGTAATGCATTCGTCAAGTCATCTTCTGCACGCGTGCTCTCGCGAGCTCTCTCTCTCTCTCTCCCTCTCTCTCTCTCTCTCTCTCAGTGTGTGCGTGTTGACGTCGCATAGTGAATCGTTTCTTTGCGCTGGCACCGGTGTTTGTGTTCCATTGTGCAGTTCAAAAATGCAAGTTCCATTTAGCTCCCTGATTGTCATGCGGTGTGCGGGATTGTTAAACCAAGTGACAAGTCACGCACAGAGAACGGAGAGACCTTGTTGACCAAGGAGAAGGCCGTATTGGGCTTAGTTGGTCAGCAAGTCACGACTTTGTCAGATATGATTTGTAAAGACCAACGAAATTCTAGAAAAGATGATTGCGCAACACTGAAGAGCACAGTGGCCCAAGCGAAGCAGTTGTTTCAGGCCAGGGCCCGCGGTTTGATTGCAGCGCGTCGTCTCAAAGAGGAGCGAAACCCACCAGGAGGTTTGACTTGCGGTGCCTGGGCAGCACTTCGGCCGAATCATCCCAAGTCACTGTGACTCATTTGGGTAAGGTATGAGTATGCGTGCTCGAACTGTGGTACTAAAGTTCATGATTTCTCGAAACTTCCGAGGCTTCCTTTGGAGATGTGTTCCGCAGATTAACCGTTTTTTGCAATCCGCGTTGCTGCCAACAATCTAAAAGCGGCGTGCCTACGCCCGGTTTTGTAGTTTTATATATGTGGTTTTTAAATTGGTTTTTAGTGTAAGACCGAAATGATGTTTGATATTTTAAGTCGTTTATGTAAAAACTATGCCCACGCATTCTGTATCCTTGGCTGTTCGTGCGTGTTTGTGAAAACCTTTGGAGGGTTAAACTCATTTCTAATTCTAACTATAAGACACAATTATATAAGATGATGAAACAACAGCTTCATTGAGCTTCATTGAGGCTAGAATAATCGGAAATGACACGTATCAAAAAATAAGAAAATAAACAAAACAACCAAGCGCACATTAAGGCAGGAAATTGATTATTGAAATTTTTGCCGTTGGTTTCAGAGCATCTACTTTTGTTTCATCTGCTTCGTTTTTTAAAACAGGAATCCCTGCCTAAAGTCTTCTGGTGCAAAAAGCAATCAAGGTCTTGAATGCTCCACAAATCTACAAAAATGTTTTTCGCCAAACTGTGCCTGGCCATCTGAAATCGAGATCAACCTAGAATCTCGATCAAGAGGCCTTCTGAACACGTCTCATTCAACCCACTAATTTTGCAGGATTCTCGAACAACCTCCGAAATTCTGGTTTTCATTTCAGGTTGTTTTCTCTCGTTTTGTCGTTACTCAGAGTTCAGCATCAAAAGCGTCGCCAAAATTCGGAGGACTTTTTTTGAAGTAAGGACTAATGTTCATATCTTTTCATGATTTTTCTTGAATTACATTTCCATCACGGTCGTTTGTTGATGTACAGTAAGGATTTTCATTGACTTCCAGACCCGCTATATATTACCCCCTTTAGCTGTATTTGAGTGACCAAAAAACGGCAAGATGTGCACATGTAGTGGGTGATCCGCAGGGTCAGACATGGTCAGAAGGCAATGTATTTAGCTTGGAAATGACATTCCGAACGACATACTTAGTGCTCGAGTCATTTTTAAATTTTTGATGGGTGATCTGAACGACATCCAAACGACATCTGAACGACATCAGTACTTCTTCAACTGACCAGTTGACCACATGGTGCAGAAAGTCGTAGGGTTTTTCATATTTTCCATTATTTATATAACAAGCAGAAAAGTCTAAGTCTAGGGCCAAGACGTACGCCAGATTTCAGCAGGCACAGCAGCGCCTCCTTAGAGAGTGCGGCGCGGTATAGATGTTTCTGAGGATCAGACTTCTGCTGACCATAGTACAGATTCTGACAGTGATTCCAGTTCAGACCGCTGATAAAGAGACCGCCGCTTGGAATTGCGATGACTTGACATTGGGATCAGGATTTTCGGACCAGGTCTTTTTTGACTCATTTTGACTTTCTTCGGCTTTTTGGACTGGAAAAACGTCAGACCTGTTACAACTGCAACCGATTTTAAATTGACCATTATTAGCCAAAATGAGCACGTTTTAACATCGTTTAAAGACCCTTCTTGGTAGCAGCGGAGCGGCTTGTTGCTTTGAACGGGATTTTTGGTAATACAGCACGCAGTCTTCAACATAGGAGCAGCATTAACAAATAAACAAACAAACGGATTGAAAAACTGCAGCGACGCCGCCGTAAAGTTAGAATATGCTTGCAAGCGTTCCAGAGTAACAGGCTTCGTGGGGTCCTCCTGGATGCTCCCCGACTCAATCGACATCAATGTTTTGTTTGGTAAGTGTCGGCCAAAAATTGCAGCTTCAAGAAAGTACCGATTAGCAAACGTAGGCAAACAGACCGACTGAAAAAACACATTGGTGCTTTGATAGACCAACTTCAACTATAAACAAACTGTGTCAACTGTAAGCAATTGTTTATAATGTTCTTTTATTTGTTTGGGTGTGCTTGGCAAAGCCGCAAAAACTGGTGCAAATACACATGCTTCCAAAATTGTTCCATCAGGTTCCTGGCAAACCTATTCTTGCAAAGAATCTGCAACACAGATTTCCCAAATTATATAAACCAAAGCAAAAATAACTTTAAATTAGCCTAACGAAGAACAGGCTAGTTATTGATTGTCATAAATTTGTTCATTGCCTTGTCTGCATCTATGAAGCATGCACTTGCAAACTGAAGAAACTGTTCCACGCGGGTCGCCAAAACCGTCGCGACGCACTGCAGAAACAGGTTAACATGAAAATCCTGCGACATAGAGGTCAACTTTTGGAGCCCCGCGCCCCGGACACTCAACAAGTCAACAAGTCGTCGTAAAGAATCTTCGGCTTCCAGTCGGCCTGGATCTGCTTCTTCACAACAGTTCGTCGATGACATGATGACATCCACTCCAAGAGCTTGGATCCTGATAAGTTGTGCCTCCAGAGAACAGTCAGTCCCCATTCGAAGGGTAGAGTACTCACTGGGAGGCCCCTCGAGAGCCCGTCAGGCCGTTAGCCCGTTCGGGCCCGTTGACGGCCCCTCACTCGTGAGACCCATATGTATCAAAGTGTTTAAGGTATAGGTAGCCAGCCCACGTCGCAATGATTATGCCCTCACCTGCGCTTGTTGCACGTGGTTCTGTGTCTCGGTTGTGCACATTTGTCGGGCGCCTTGGCTTTGTTGTATGTGAGAAACAGACAAACTATGACAAACTAAAATAGCCGTGTTTTTTCCCAAACTTCGGCCCCTTGCCCCTTCCCTTCCCCGAGCATGAGCCTTTGTTGCTGGCGCGAGGGTTGGGTTGAGTTGCGCACGACTACTATTCAAAGTTTCCCCGAGGAGGCTCCTCAAGGTTTATTGCGCCCATGGTGCAAGTGAGTCTAGAGTAACTGTACCAACTGTCAACCTTGTGGCTGCCTTGCTGCAACATGGGATGAACTGGCCCCAGCCCAAAGATGAAACTTGGGTGCGTGCCGAAAGTGGATGAAATTGCACTGCCCCCCCCCCCCCCCCCCCCCCCCCACCCCCCCAGGCCTGACAGACCATGTGTTCGCAGATAAGGCGTTGTAGAGCGAGGTGTGCGCGTGCGTGGATGAGGTTGGTGCAGTGTGCAGATGAGTAGCGTGTGCCGGAATGAGGTGCTGTCCATACCTGGGGTGTTAAAACCGAAGCCTGGGCTAGCAAATGTTTAGCTGTGCCGGTGCTGTTGTTTTCCAGCTTTGGACCGGAACGTCGTACCAAGACCTTGATCCACCTCACTGTATGCGCGTAATAAAGCAGAAACGCACGAGTTGGATCCCTTGAGTTTTTCGAGCAAATCACGGGTGTTGGCGGGCCCGTTGGGGCTTGTCGGGCCCGTTGCCCGTTGGGCCCGTCAAGTGTTTGGCCCCAGTAGGGACACCTCCACCAGCAATCAGCAAACAATAGAACCTTTCAACAAAAGTTCCCTTTCAACTTTCAACGAAATGCTGTCTGAAAACAAATGGCGGCCAATCAAATGAAATCTAAATCGGATCCGTTGATATGACTGTTGTTTCTTCGGTTGAAACACTTGACACAGTATTCTACTTCACTTCTGTCTGTTGTTATGTGCAAACCACTGGAAATGGAAACAGCACCAAATAGCCGGATTTTTCCATAGCAATCTATATAAATGTAAAGTTTGAATCGAGGGGTCAAAAGCACTCTTGTGACCTTTGTCAACTCAATATGACACAAGTATGGGTTGCAAGTTGCTAGCGCAGCAGAGTCATGCAAAAAATACCTGGACAACCCCCTTGGAATTGCACAGCGGCGGCCCTCTGAGTTGTGATGAGTTGTGAAAGCCTCTCAGAAACCCTGCAAATGTGACCGGGATCTTAAGCGGTGTTGAGACACTTGCGCATTTCGACTCAATGTTGTATCTCAATTAGAGTATCAACTTGCATTTGCTCACAGGGTGCGGTCGCACGTTGTATTTTTTAAAAGTTAATGTCCTAGTATGTTTTTCATCATGTTTTATTCATGATTCTTTAACACATGAGCATGCAATAACGCAAACATGGTTATAGTATGTTATAGTAACTTTCAAAACCTCTCAAAAGCATCACTTCCCACTCAGTCCCTGGCAAATCTGTTCTTGGCATGGCATTGCATCACTTATGTACCTGTCCTGCCCACTCCAAAAGAAATTAAATTGTATATACATAGAATCAACAGAGCTGAATAGGATAAAAACCAGAATGACTCCCACTAATAGAGGCGCTCACGAAATTTCACGTCTCTGTGGCAAGTAGATCGCAACAGCCTCAGACGCAAAATATGTATATACAGTACTCGTATTACAATATTCGTCAAAAGGTTGATCTAGTCTTGTCATTTTTGTCAGGAGATCGACATGTTTCTGCAATTCTCTAGTAAACTTAATGATGTTCAATCATGTCTCCTTGAAATCAATGATGGCAAGGATCCAGGACCTGCACACAGACCAACGCGGTAAGAACACAAAATTAAAATGTGGTTCCCATTCCGAACGCAACAATGGCTCTAAATTGCCATTTGTGTACTAAAATTCCTTTCAGCTTTGTGAGCCGTGTTTGCCATTTCTGTTGCAGCGGCAATGCTACTCAGAAAGAGCCGCACTCACAATTTGAAAAAAAAAACGCAACCAACAATTCAATCAACAGTTTCTGCTGATAGAGGCGGCAAACCTTTTGAACGAATTTCATCAGATGATAAAGTTATTGAAAAAACTGTTTTGCCTTTGGGACTTGTAAGGTTCCGTCGCGATGATGGAGCCAAAACCAGACTCCTGGCCAGAAACACTTTTTGAACATGTCCTGCCCCCTCCCAAAAAAAAACACGGCTCCATCTTCAAAGTCTGAAATCCCAAATGGCGGACCTGGTTGAAAAGAACCAGAATGGCTACAACAGGCGGCGCAGCATCTGGTGTGTTTATTGTTGTTATATATATAATTTGATGTTGTTCCTTCTTGATGCTTTTTGTTCAGGTTTTTTGAGCCTGATGGAAATAAAGGGACACACTGAAAAAAGAGCTTCCTGCCTTGATGTGCATTTGTTTGTTTGTTTGTTTCCAGTTTTGTCATGTTTGTACAGTAGATACAGTAAATGTTTCATGACTACATGTTCGTCCAGACCCGTTGTATAACTCATTGAATCTCACTTTTGTCACGTGTTTATTTTACTTCCTTAAACCTTAATGACTTCAAACACATATGACACATTGCAACCAATTTTATATCGACCATTTTGGGCTGAAATGAGCATGCTTGATCCCTCTTCCAGGTAGCAACGGGGGTGTTTTGCCCTAAGAACCGGCAGGACGGGACAGACCAGTCAGCAAGACCCAGCGCCATCGTCTCATGACCAGCGGCGCGTTTGCCGCCGCGTCCGGCTCACGCGTAAACTTCCGCTGGCTTTCATGATGTCCTCATTCTCAGGTCATTTTTGTCCACTGGCGTTTTTGTTTTGAGAAGGGCCATTCCGTTTTTAGTGGAGCCACAAACGCCCGGGAGCTGGCTGGGGGAATCATTGTTGAGTCCTTTAATCTTTGTCAAATGTTTGGAGGCACCACCCTAATTATACAGTTCAGGTGTTGATTTTGAATTGCTGGGTTGCTGTAAGGTCTTACAAACATGTGTGGAGTGATTGGGGAGTTTTTTGGAGTTGTCTCGTGCTGATCGAGTCACTTCGATACCTTGAATAAATTGCGAGTTCGAACAAATCACGGCTTAGCAGCCATGGAGGTAAGGAGCTTTTGCGTATCAGTCAGTTGCGGTTGTCGTCCGGACAATGCACACGTCAAACATAGAGGGAATTTGGTGGTAAGGCCTCTTGAGGACATGGGCCGCATATGAGAGGAAGCTTGGTTGAACCAAGAAGTTGTCGTCGCAGCTCTGCAGACACACACACAATCACACACACATGTGCCCGTTTGCTCTTGCATATGTTGTTTGCTTCCTTACTATTCATTCTTTATGTGCTGAGTCAATGTATCACTCATTTCTTGATAGACACGGCTATGCGCGGTCTTCATTCATCCCTTGGATTTGACAGATCTGTGTTGAGGCTTGGCCTGGCTCCGCAACATATTGTATCAACAGAGCCCTTGCCAGTTGCCCGCTTGAAGCGGCCGACTCCTGCTCAGGCCATTGTGTGGGTTGTTTGTACTTTCCTGTTCTTTGCATGTGTTGCTTTCAACGTTGGTCGGCTAACATAAACTTCGGCGTTTCCAGGTCTGGGAATTTGCCTCATGGCCGCAGTTCAAGCGTACAATTTGCTGACCCTTTTTGCCGCCCTTGTTCTTGGGTGGAAGGTTGTGCGCAATCAGCCCGTGGTCATTGAAGATGCTGTGAACGCGGATGATTTCCCGCCCTTCTTCGACTTTGCGGACCACAGATGATGTGCTAAAGTGGGCTGATGATACGGCGTAATGTCTACCTTCAAACACGTGTTGGATGAATAGAGATTAGTAGGTCTCAGCGCGTTGGTTCAAACACGTGTATCTTCAAGTTGTACGAAGAATTTGCCTTGGCCGTTGTTGTGCCTCAGAAACCTATGCTCCCTGTGGGCACTGCCCAACACAGCAAGTCATATGCATTCATGTTCTCTCGCAGGACTTTGATTATTTGCGGGAACGGTGTGGGCACCGCTATGTAAAGGTAAAGGGCGACTCATGCTGGGACAACAAAGGGCGACAACTTTTCCTCAACGACCCCACGATTGAGATCAGCATATCTGACTACTTGGATTTGATCGAGGTTGCCGAGGAGCATGAGACGTGCATCTCATGGTATATGGGAAAGCTGCCGTTGCACACAGATGTTCCCGAAATGTTCGAGGACATTGTGAATGCCCCCAATTCACCATGGCGCAAGTATGGCAATTGCTTCGGTGAAAACAACAAAGGAGTTCACACATACTTTGGCTGTGGCGGCAACACGACTTGCATCCATTCAGACCCCTCTGAAAATTTGCTTTTCGTTGTGACCGGGGAGAAGTTCATGGATATATATCCTCCCTGTGATGCTGCTTGCAGCTCGATTGGTTTATGAACCTGTGAATAGGGTTGCTCAAGCCTTAAGCTTTTCTTGAGAAGGATCAAGGGCAGCCGCAAAGCAAGTCAGTACTTCGATGCACCTCGCAGGTATGCATACCACGGTGAAGAAGTTTTTGAACTCATTGGTGCCACCGTTTATTGATCCAGCCTTTGTGCCAGCAGAGGCAGGCGTGTTTGCTCGTCATTCTGTGCTTTTGACTTTGCTTGCATGCCAGGTGGACAAGAATTGGCCTTTTTACAAGCATGCAACTCGGACGGTTTAAATCGCGTTCGGCTAGCTTGCTCACAGCGTCGGAAGGAAAGAGATCACAACTGTATGATCAGATGCTTAGACCATCTTATATACACATTCTTAGACTTAGACGTTTTTGAATCATGCTCATCTACAGTAACCCTCTAAGACTCCTCAAATTTCAGAGCTTTTGCGGAACTGGTCCTGAGCTTTGCAATTGCACTGCGCCCAGCTTAAAGACTTGCTCCAAGCTGAGCGATTGACTTGGTCATGGAATGTGACACTACGTGCGTGACACTTTTGAGGTGGGACTGGGTTGCTAAAAAAACACCTCAGCAGCCCACTCAAAAAGCAATAGTTTTTGCAATCAGAGCCTGCTACCCAAAATCCTTACCCATCATCACAGCCGCACAAAGTGCCCTCGTGTATCCATCCGTCCTCCAATGCAGATCTGAAGGGGCAAGTGTACCAATGGCAGCCCTTTCTATAGAAAAAACCTTTCGCAGCCGCTCCTTGAGAAAAAGGAGGGTGCAGTGCAAGATGTTACAAGAAAAGGCATCCTTGATAACCCTGTGATGGCTGGGTATCCCTGGCGTCCCTTGACATCTTTGACGGCAACCCTCAAAATAGTTTTGGATACCCGAGGCCCAACCTCAGCGAGTTCACTTGAAAGCTGGTGATTTGCAGCTTAGATTGGAATTTTAGTTGCGGAGACATTCATGTGCAGTATTAGACCATATTAGACCAACAGCAAGGGGAACACGGTTCACAGAATGTTTGATTGTGTTTTGGGGTCTCTGGTTGTTTCTTACAACTAGTGCGAACCTTCGTGCCTGACATCCGAGGTTTTATCTTCCTATCTTTTGGTGGCATGCTGTGCAAGGTCGGTGAAGTGCACGCTCTCAAATGGCGCATGCCAACTGCACTGAGGTTCAATTGGACGGAATATGATTCTCAATTGGTGGTGTCAGCAGCATCCGTACAAGGCCCCGCCAGATAAACGTTGCCAAGGAGTTTTGGTAGTGTGTGCAGTGTGCGCTGAAATACGAGGAACACAAGTACAAGGGCTTCGAAGGAACACGGGAGGTCTTGGAGGTTTTGCAGCACCTGAACGAGGTGGGAAGATGCGTGAAGAGCCAAATAGTTTAGCCTCAGCCAGATTAAATGCTGAGGCCTGGTCTGAGACTGAAGCTTGGCCAAAAATATCAAGACATGGACACCTGAAACCAAGCTGCACATGTCAGACACGAATGAAGCTGTTCTCAGGACTCGGCAAGCCCAACTCCACAGGAGAGGGCGGTTGCCCAAGAGCTTGGAAACGGAGTACTGTATTCCGATTCAATGCGCGCTGCCAGCGACAGTGACTTGCCCTTTGCGCGCGCATTAGATCTTTCAAGACAAATGGATCTATATACTGTAATTATATAGCTCGATGGGGGGCTCATGCTGATGTTTGGTGTGAATTTATATATGTATGTGTATATATATATATAATGTATATATATATATGTGTGTGTATATATACATATATTCAGCTCATCTTGAGACAGGCACAGTAGTCAAGCCTGAGCACTGCACCTGTCACGAAATCTGAGCTCCTCGACGATCACCACCATGTCCAAGGTGCTGCACCTGCCACGAAATCTGCACTTCGAAGTAAAACCGCTCCTGTCACGAAAAGTCGACTTTGGAGCACCAAAACACGAGGTTTCCCATGCGCCTGCCACGATAAGTGACCATCACGTGCGGAAATGCGCACGGCGCCACAACGAGAGCGCAGTCGTTAGAAGCACCCGCCGCGGGCAGGCAGATTTTGTGGGCCTGCGCAGTCGAAATGCACTTCGAGGGCTTCGAGAGTCATGAATGCACTGTAAACAGCAGCGAATTAGCCGGACACGCCCACGTGGCACACCTATCTAAGCACAGCTGCTTTTCCACTACCGTAAGAACCCCCTTAGTGTATCCACACTGTTTGGGGAAAAGGACGAGAAAGAGGAAAAGGACAGGAACAAATTAAATCAAATTGGATACCCCGTGCTATTTCCACTACAAAATCGATGCTGATACCATCACAAAAGCATTTTTTAATATAAAGAGTGATCTGCTTATGTTGGAGGTGGCATGTCAGAGAGTCTGATTTTATAGAGAGCACAGGAAATTATGAGCCTCGATTCTATAGAGGGTTAGTGTGTATCAATACATGCTTGGCAAGGTAAAGACATCTGATTTTATAGTCAAGCCATGATCGAATTTGACATGTCAAGGGTCTCAATTGTATAAATTTTGTGCTTGCGGGCAGTTGCCGTGGCTTTCCAAGTTCCAAGGTCCATGCCTGATGCTGGACATGTGTTTGCTCAAGGGTTCAAGGGGAGTTGATCCCGTACAACTCCTGGTTAATCACACAGATTGAATCAAATTAAATTCTCAATCCTAAGAGGTTCTACAATCTCAAAGGGGGTTAGATGAAATTCTCATTCCTGACAACCTAGTGGGGTTTCATATTCTTTCAGAATGTTTGCCATATCGTGCCATATTTCTTTTCAAGTCAGAATGAGATGAGCTAATTGGTGCGCCTGCTGTTGTTGAGATTTGAGCACGCTAAGTAGCAGATATCCAGTATATGGGCCATCTGGAACATTATGGAATATAATTGATTTATATGGCTAGATATGGCATGATAGCCCTCATAACCTTTTGTAAACATGTTTCCAAAAGATCAAGACGATGGAAAGTTGATGGCTTCACAATGCTTCCCACAAGTGCACCCTCAGGTTTCACATGTGCGCAAAAAGCTTGCAACAGCGCGCATAACTCTCAAAAAAATTAGAATTCAGCACCACAACCCTTTTAAACAGGAGGGTCATGAATCAATGAAATGCCCTATGAGTAATTGTGAGGACGTATGTAGATGACAACAGCTTTCCCAAGCAGGGAGGCCAGCTGGGTGAACCTCGAAACGGCGCCTCGAAACAACTCATACGACGACTCCTATGAGTTGCTTGACAGAGCGATGAGTTGCTTGAACACTTCTCAAGATCTACTGGGCGCTTGTGGTCGGGTTCCCGGCTCGCTTGTCTCCACTTCCTTTCATTTGTTTCCCACATCTTTACATTTGTCTCCCACTTCCTTTCATTGTCTATGAAATGTTTTGACGATGTCCCCAGATGGGCTGCCATGAGGTGACCAGATCAGAGCATGTTGAGTGTAAAAAATTGGGTTGCCTCCCATGATTTGAGGATATTGGTGTTCTATATAGATGTTATAAGATGGTAGATATTGGTGTTCTATAGAATCTGTGAAGGTGACTTTGGCCAATGAAGTGCTATAGAATTGTGGTATCGTTCATGCATAAATAGCTTCCTACAGGTCCTGCGTCCAGCGTAGTCAGATTTTGCAACCCAAAGCCTGCTATTCTATAGAGGCCCTACTACCCAATAATTAAAAACAGTTCGAAAATACCTTGCACTCTATGATTCTATAGTGTTTGTACTTGCTATGTCTACCAGTTGTCTACCTATTTTCCATGTCCCCAACCCAATTCTATAGAGCTGGCCATGATTTTCAGCCTCGCAATCCTGAATTCTATAGAGCTCAAAATGCAGCCTTTCATTTCGGATGTCATATGCAGCGTTTTATAACTAGAAAATCGGTGTGCCCACCCCCCAACTTAATTCACAGGGGGATGAAATTGGTTTGATTTGGTTTGTTTGATTATCTATTCTACTGGTTTTCTGTTTTTACAAAATAATGGAATCTGATCAAATTTGATCAAAACAAATTTCTTGATCCAATTTGATCCAGTTTGATCAGGTTGCAATTTTTGTAAACCTTCAATTTCCTGAATTAAGAAATGTCAAGAACTTTGGTCATTGGATGTTGTTTCCATTTTTCACCAAATAATTTGTCCACAGCTTTAGTCACTAGCAGTTTTTAATTTCACTCACCCCCAAAAAGGTTGTCCACAGTTTTAGTCATTAGATTTTGTTTCCTTTCTCTCACCCAAACATTTTGCTCACAGTTTTTTGTAATTAGAATTTGCCTCGCCCAAAATTTTTGTTCACAGTTTTAGTCATTAGATTTTGTTTCCTTACTTTCCTTCACCCTAAAGAGTTTTGGCCATAGTTTTATATAGTAATCATTAGATGTTGTTTCCTCAACTCTCCTCACCAAAAGATTTTGACAACAGTTTTAGTCATTAGATTTTGTTTCCTTACTTTCCCTCACGTTCACCAAAAAAAGTCCTTTTCCTCTCCCGTTTCTGTTTCCTTTTTTCCTCTTCTCTTCCTCTTGCCTTTCCTCTTTTCATGTTCTTTTCCTCTTCCTTTTCCTTTGCCTCTTTCTCTTCCTGTTCCTTGGCCTTTTCCTTTTCCTCTTCCGTTTTCTTTTCCTCTGCCTCTTTCTCTTCCTTTTCCTTTTCCTCTTCCGTTTCCTCTTCCTTTCCCTTTTCCTCTTCCTTTTCTTTTTTTCATGTTCCTTTCCTTTTGTCCTTTTCCTTTTCCTCTTCCTTTTCTTTTTTCATCTTCCTTGTCCTGTTCCTCTTCCTTTTCCTTCTCTTCTTCCTTTTCCTTTTCTTTTTCCTGTTCCTTTTGCTATTCTTGTTTACTTGTTTTCTTTTCCTTTTCCTTTTGTGACACCCCCTTTTTGTCCAAAGGGATGTCTGCACATAGCTTTACACCACTTGAGCAAAAAAAAATCTTTACTTAGTGATCCCCACCATGACATTTCAAAACAGCCACGTTGACGTCACCCTCGTTGTGTATTGCAGCCCATAGCACAAGTCCTTCAGCGCCAGGTCTTACTGTTTTGTCCGAAGCGAACGCTTTCATCAGGAGAGCTGTGCCCAACTAACAATACAACTCAGATCATTGCAACGGGGAAACTTCCAGGGCCCGAGTAGTAGTAGTCGTGGTGGTGGTGGTGGTAGTGGTAGTAGTGGTAGTAGTGGTAGTAGTGGTAGTGGTGGTAGTAGTAGTAGTAAGTAGTAAGTAGTACGTAGTAAGTAGTAAGTAGTAAGTATAGTAAGTATAGTAAGTATAGTAAGTATAGTAAGTATAGTAAGTCGTAAGTCGTAAGTCGTCAGTCGTCAGTCGTCGTCGTCGTCGTCGTCGTCGTCGTCGTCGTCGTCGTCGCGGTAGCGGTAGCGGTAGCGGTAGCGGTAGCGGTAGCGGTAGCGGTAGCGGTAGCGGTAGTAGTAGTAGTAGTAGTAGTAGTAGTAGTAGTAGTAGTTGCTGTTGCTGTTGCTGTTGGACACAATTCGGGGCCCGAGCTTCGGGGCCCGAGCTTCGGGGCCCGAACCTGGGCAGTAGTAGTAGTAGCAGTAGTAGTAGTCGTCGTCGTAGTAGTAGTAGTAGTGGGAGTAGGAGTAGGAGTAGTAGTAATATGTACTTTACTTGCTGTAGGATGTTGAACTGATTGCTCCCACACTATGGTGAGTTTTGGGTCTGGAGCTCGCGGTTGAGGTCCGGCAGGGAACACTGGGCGCAGATGGTCGCGGTTGAGGTCCGGTGGGGAACACTTGGGTCTGGAGCTCGTGGTTGAGGTCCGGCAGGGATGGCAGGGAACGCTTGGGTCTGGAGCTCGCGGTTGAGGTGCGGCAGGGAAGACTGTGCGTGGGTGGTCGCGGTTGAGGCCCGGCGGGGGACGAGGAGGAGATAGGGCTGACGTAAAATCTAACAACCCTCACCTGACAGGTGGGGAATTAGGAAATCAATTGCCAAATCAATTGCAAAAGTCAATATAGTTTGGAATTTTCTACTTTTTTGTGGGTACTGAAAAATCAGTACTTATTTCAAATCAATATCAATTAAAAAATTTTCCAACATTATGGATTGGAATCACTAGCCGATGCTCAGGGTTTGCTACTGCAAAATATCTTTGAGAGCGACTCTGGTCCGTCCATTTCCCGAAGCAAGACAACGACGCCGGAAGGTCCGATGGTCTGCTGATCCGATGGTCCAATGATCCGATGGTCCGATGGTCCGACGATCCGATCCGATGATCCGATGGTCTGCTGATCTGATCCGATGATCCGATCATCTGATGATCCGAGACCGTGGTCGAATAGATGGGGCACCCTGGAGTTTGCGAGGGTGTGGAGGCGGCTTGGGCTTGAAAAGGGCATGAAAAGGGTATGGATAGGGTATGACAAAGGTAAAGGGGTGTGAAAACGGTATGAAAAGGGTCTGACAAGGGTGTGAAAAGGGTATGAAAACGGCATCAGCTGGGTATGAAAAGGATTTGCAAAGGGTATGAAAGGGGATTGACAAGGGTATGAAAAGGGCATGAAAGGATATGAAAAGGATATGAAGAGGGTATGAAAAGGATATTAAAAGGGTATGAACAGGGCATGAAAAGGGGTATGAAAAGGGTATGAAAAGGGTATGACAAGGATATGAAAAGGATATGAAAAGGGTATGAGGGTATGAAATGGGCATGAAATGGGCATGAAGAGGGCATGAAGAAGAGGGTTTCTCTCTGGCGACAATGCCCGCCGCGCAGGCGATCTCCGCAACGCAGATCTGCCATGGTAGAGTGCTATGGATCGGCTCTACACCCATAAGTAGCGTTACTTTAGTCTACTTGTAGGGCCCATGACAAATACGCTCCTAGTTGTGTTGCGTTTTGGGTGGTCCTTTTGTTGCGCTTGGGGTTTGAAAAGGCAATGAATCTCAGGGAGACCTTTTTTCGATGCGTTTTTTCAGCCCTTGTTCGATGGGTTTCACCACCACTTAGCTAAGTGCAGCTGAGTTGGCTACAAAAGAGGGTATGAAAAGTATGTGATAAGGATATGAAAAGGTGTATGAAAAGGTCTTGTTATACCCTTCCCATGCCCTTTTCATAGCTTTCATTTGCTATCCGCTTTGGAAGCGCTCGCGTTATCAATATATATATACATATATATATATATAGCCATCCTGGAGTAGATAGAATTTTTTAAAAACAATTCACTCCTCAAAACCGGCCCTTCCAAACCCCACAGATAGGATATGGTTATGGGGGCTTCTCTTCCTTTTCCTTTGTTGTCCTTTTCCTTCTCTGTTCGTTCTAAAGAAAAGAAATAAGGAAAGGAACGCTTAGATAATACACATAGGAACAGAACATGAAAATAACAAAGGAGCCAATACCGGAATGGGGGGAGTTGATAAGAATCGTATCACTATATTCTATCTATAGGGTCAGTCTTCATAAAATGAAAGGGATGTCAAAAAACCTGTTTTTCAAAAAAA